AGAGAGAGAGAGAGAGAGAGAGAGAGAGAGAGAGAGAGAGAGAGAGAGAGAGAGAGAGAGAGAGAGAGAGAGAGAGAGAGCATTGAAACTGACCCTTCAAGGAGCACTTCATTGACTCTGCGGAGACAGTGGAGGTATATTTGTCTTGAGCATTGCAAGAGTAGCAACCACATGACAGGGGAAGTGTAATGAGCCTCAAAGCTCACCACACGATAGTGTGCTCACACCAGCATGTATATCACACAGATTGCATTGTCATACATTGCACAAAGAGAAGATGAGTAGTAGACCAGATAGCGCAACTCAAATATCACAACCAGATTATAGAGAGAGGATCAAAAGTTTAACTGTCCAACGCTCAACAAGATTACAAGTCTTCTTCGATCATCAAGAGTCTCAGCATCTGTGCTCATCAGCGCTTGTTACCAACACCAAGTTCAACACCCTTGAGGTAAGTATATACTATAGCTCACTCTCTCTCCCTCTTATCTCTCTCTCACTTGATGGTTCTGGTCTTCTGGTCTTCTTCTTCTCTCATATGCGCACTCCCTACTACTAACACACTCATGAGGATCAACTCTGAATACCACTCACTGCTCTACTACTACTAACTACTAACTACATTGCCTCCCTGTGCTGGCGCAGCTATGGCTGCCTTCTTCCCTGCCAGCGTCCACCTTCCTCTCTTTTTCATCTCACTCAGCGCTGCTCTCTGGCATAGCTCAGCTCTCTCACATCTGGCGCACAAGTGCACTAGCACTTCCACACTCTCATGCGAATGAACATCTGCCAAATGGGAGGCTGGCCAGTCTTTTGTAATGTTAGACTGGTCTTGGCTGGGCCAGCCTCTGGCCGAATTCCCTGGTACCGCATGCCCACTGCCTGTTTGTTGCGAAGTGTGAGTCCCAGTACCTTTCCCATGGTCTGCTGCTGCTGTGGCCTTTCGGGCCTGCCTTTTGGACTTCTGGTCTGACTCAAGATGTGACCTCTCTCTGCTGAACAGACGTGACCCCTACTCAGCCTCAGATTTGACTGTTCGCACAGGACCTAGATGTGACTTTTGCAAAATGACTTTTCATTTCAGTCTGGACGCGACATTGCCTTAGGAAAACTTGTCTTTAGGAATGCTGATTGACAACTCCAGGTTTTGGCCGACTGGGCCCCTTTATGTTGTGGTTGTGACTCAAGGTCTGAATCGTGAAAGCCCTTTTAGAAGAAGGACGCCGGGCAGTAATCAAACCAAGACGGCTTCTAAGGCTCTCCTAAACCAATCCGGCCCCTGGCCCATCAATCATATGTCTGCATTCATTGACCCTCCAGCAACAACTTACACCATTCAAAACAACGGGCTTCCAGTCCTCAATGGTATGCGAATTTGCCAGTCATGTCCAATCTACATCTCAAATGTCGGTCAATCGGGCAGACAGTCTGCATTTTGTTGGTAAAAAATGGCCATTGTCATGCTCCCAAAATCATCAAATTAATTTCTTGCACAATGATTGGATTTCCTTGGGGACCAGGCAGGCAGGTGCAGTACAGGCCTGTATGGCAAAGGAGAGGAACAGGACAAGCATGGCACCGGTTACGGATATTCAACACGGGACAAGGGAGATACCTTGTTCTTTCTTTTTTCTTTTTTTCAATCGGACAGTTTTTTGACTGCCCTTTTTTTTTTTTTTTTTTTACTGCTGGTCTGTGTCACCGTGAATGCGAAGATGATTCCTGTGAAAAGGGTTGTTTGTAGTGTGAACTTGTTTCCTTTTTTTTTCTTCTTTTTTTCTCCTTTTGTAAGTTTTTAAACTTTTTTTAAGCTTTTTTTCCCTTTTTTCTTTTTTTAAATCTTTTTCGTATCCTTTTTGCATCTTATTTTATCTTTTTTTTGGAAAACAAAATCCCTTCTTTCTTGAATTTGAAGATTGTTTCAATGGGAGTGAGGTGGATGGAATAACTTTTCTCAGCTCTCTGCTTTCACAGCTCACCTCGCCGCGACAATCAAACATGGCTACAGCCATCACCGCCTCCCAGGCATTTAGCGCCAATAACTGGGCATTGCTTGCTGACAAGACTGCATTTGCTCTTCGCATAGACCTTAGTGTACCCTCCACAACTGTCCCGGAAACTACCTGCTGTGGCACTTCAATCCACCACTCATAGCCAAGCCAGCTGGAGATCACTTCGACATCATAGCAGAATCGGTCACCATACAGGGGATGTCTGCGTGACGATGGCCCTTTTGCTGAAGACACATTCTTCAGCAGACTGTAGGAATCTTTGAGCAGATCCGACAGCTCACGGAAGGCACCCGGTGGTACCTCCCTGCCACCCTCCAGTTCTCCGCACAGGTGATGATAAACGTCGCTCATCACCAGTGCTTCGGCAGTCATTCCTCTCTTACTGCAGATTGTCACAGGCAAGACAAAGATGAGGTGAGATATCACACAACACACATGCAATCAACGATCGATACAAACGACCAATGATCGAAGTCCAGATGATGGCATGACTGATGTGATGTTCGAGGTGGTGACTGATGCAATATCACACACAGGCAAGACAAAAAGACAAATGACAGGAGATGTCAGCATCACTGATGTGATGATCGAGGTGGTGGCTGCTGTAATGATTAACAGAACAGATTGTGCTACGTCTTTTTTTTCCCTCTCTCTCCCTCTCTCTCTCTCTCTCTCTCTCTCTCTCTCTCTCTCTCTCTCTCTCTC